CCTTTAAAAGCTTGAAAAGTAAATTTTTAATCATAATTTACAAAATACAATATAAAGTACATGAGAAGAGTTTCATGTTGGATTGTGGAAACAAGTGCTTTTGGTATCACATGATTTCACACACGCACTAAATCAACATCCCCCTCCTATGCTTCTCACCCCACACCGCGGACCAAGTTCAGCTAATGCTCCGCCGTGTGCAGCCCAAGCCCGCTCCACAACAGTAATGATGGTGAAGACAGGTGTACTTGAGATGCTGATATTGCAATCTCGTGTGGTAGCAATGGAAGGTTAGTGGGGCCACAGAATAGTGGAGAGGATAGACCTGCTATCACCGGTGACAGGTTCAGAGTCACTAGCATTTGACTCCATAATCCTGCTTCTAACCAAGGTCAAACTAGAATTAATTTAAATAATATTTAAATGAAAAACATTAGTACAGAACAGTCATGTTTAAACCATGCTTAATCCAACAAAACACAGTTGCTAAAATACAAATCTTGTAGATTGTTATTCCTTTTAAACTCTGATGTCATTTCAGGGTTTAATGGGGGGGGGGGGGGCATCCCAATCTAGCTGTTCAAAACTCTTCATCGATCAAGGTGAGAGACTGATTCACCAGTTTAATCGAGTCAGGTTGAGTGTTAATTCTATGCTTATCACTAATATGTGAATATTCTTTTCTGCCTTACCTTAGCAAACCTCATGCTCAAATCACCTAAGCTTTCATTTATTTTAAAAAAAAAAAATCAAGAAGTCATCTAAAGGTAGATTAGGTGACAATGATGGGATCGAGTATAGGTAGAGATATACAGTTTCAACCCTCATAATGTGTTGAAGAAAAGAGAGAGAGAAGCACAAATTCATTGTCTCATATTCTTGAAGCACTGAGCCACAAACAATCCACGGCAACACTCTTTTTTTTGGTTGCTTTGGTCTGAATGACATTCACGAGAACTTAAGCCTCTGATTTGAGGAAATTGTATGATATCTACAAGTCAACAATACCAATATGAAAGCAACTACATTCTATCAAAAACAAATTGTGAAATGTTCACTCAAAAAAAAAAAAAAAACAAATTGTGAAATAAGCAAACTGTGGTATTGTCTTACGGGGAAGGTGGTGAGTCTAAAAACATGCCTCATTTCTGATTGTATACCACTCAAAAATATACTATGCTGAAAGTTGTTACAACGAGATCTTAGAGTTCATCCAATTCATTTTCTCCATATGGACTTAGCATTAAATGGTAATATTAAACCAAAAAAAAAAAGGAGACACGACAAAAAATATAATTGAAAAACTTAACATAAAAACTGTCAGGAACTTAACCTAAATATTGTCTTTTATTTATTTATTTTAGACTTTGGTTACCAAAATATTCAGATGGAAAGATTTCGAGAAGATTCCTCACTAAAACATTTGTTGTCTCATCGGAAGGTTGATTTCATGAACTTAAATCTTCAAACCTAACTTACTCCCGATCAGCAGGTGCAATATACTCCTCCGATCCTTAATATAAGACTCATTTAACCAATTTGATTAGATTAAGGAAGTTAGGTAAGTTAGTTAATTATAAGAAATGTGACATGTTTTTCCTAAAACACCATAATCATTTTTCTTAATACCACCTCTCCCTCTTCTACTTGATTGTGGTTGAGAGAGTATCCATAGGGGTAATTTAGAGAAACTTGATAAATATAATAAATGGATCTTATATTTAGGACCAAAATCAACTCAATAATTGGATCCTATATTAAGGACCGGAGGAGTATATTATTTATTCCAAGACTAATAAAGTACTTCTTCTGATCCTAAAGGTAAGAACTCAGAGACAAATCTGCTTTAATCCTAAATGTAAGATTTCAATCCACTTTATCTCCTAAATTTATTTTTACTTTAACTCTACTGCACATATTAAGGGATGTTCAACTGAGGAAATATTTTCTAATACACATAACTAAAATGAGTACTTTAAAAAGTCAACTAGCTTAACTAATTTTTTTAATATCTATAAATTAGTTATTTAGATCCTATATTAACATTGGAAGAAGTGCTATAAAATGCTACCTATATGTCTGAAGCAACGTTCAAATTTTGTTCATTTTGATCCACATCATGTATCCTGCTTTGGAATGAAGATATAAATGAGAGAGTATATGCACACCTGAATAAGTTCACATGTTCTGGATTAATTCAAGTCCTTATCCAATGAGTAACTCAGTCTCTAAAGCTGTCAGTCCAATTCCAATAATTGGAAAAAAAAAAAAAACAATATACCTATCTTCCGGATTAATTCAAGTCCTTATCCAATGAGTAACTCAGTCTCTAAAGCTGTCAGTCCAATTCCAATAATTGAAAAAAAAAAAAAACTATATACCTATCTTCCGGATTAATTCAAGTCCTTGTCCAATGAGTAACTCAGTCTCTAAAGCTGTCAGTCCAATTCCAATAATTGAAAAAAAAAAAAAACTATATATCTATACACATCTCAAGATGTTCACAAGGGTATATAACAAAATTCTGCCATGGTAATGACTACAAATGGAAGTCAGAAAGGTCACGTACTTCAGCCAAAACAGCAAAGGGGGATAATTCTACTGAGACATCGGTGTAGAAACTGTTCAGGTTTTTGTGTCATCGTTTATTGAAAAATAAACATCCAACATTATTTATGATTCAAGAAGAATATACGCAATGCAAAAGTTATAAAAAAATATTATTAGAAAGGAGAAGAGTAATATCAAGATGGAATATATCTGTCTAGAAAGAAAACCGTCGACCCTTGCACTCTTTCTTCCTCTCTAACATAATGAGCCTAGAAAGAAAATAAAATAAAAAATATATCCAGTTATCACAGTCAACTCAATTGTAAACAACTTCTGACTAACCCAGTCTATACAACTATCAGGGCAATTCCAATGTAATAAATCTAAGGCAACTAAGGAAGTTGAGTATTTGCAAATGACAGAATATTTAATAAGGATAATAGAGAAATGAAAACTTAACATGCTTTAAGCATATATAAGTCTCTTGAAACCTTCAAATACAGAAACTGTTCCCATTTTTCTGTCATGAATTATTGAAAATAAACCTGCAACATTATTCACTCTTTAGGAAGGAAGAATATATGATGTGACCACAAATATATCCTTCTATGCAAAACAAACATACAGTAGCAACAACAACAAGAAGCCTTAGCTCACTAGATGGGGTTGGCTACATAGATTGCATAATGTCATTATGATCTATTAACAACTAAATCTTTGAATAAATTGTTAAACAAAAAGTCCCGAATAATTTCATTGAGTGTTTTCTTCATTCTTCCTCTATCCCTTTTCAAAGGATTCTATACTATTTGATCCACCGTTCTCACTAGTGCATCCAATAGACACAAAACAGACAAGCAAATAAACAAAAATATCATGGCAAAAAAAGAACAATAAGAAGATCAAGTTATGACACACCCGAAGCAAATCTCTCTCTAGCATAGAAGAAATTCAAATCATAAAATCTAATAAGATTGTAAGAAAAGAATAATCACTGAAATAAATTAGTCAGACAGTGTTTACAGCTCCCCTGTTAGTAAGGTAATCTGAAAAGAAAAGCTTACCCTTCATTACCTCAACAAAGACAAACGATAACGAAACATTAATGGAAGAATTGAAAATACTTCAAAGCATCTCATCTAATGGCAAGCATTTTCTTCGACCTGTGGTTTTGAAATTAACCTCAATAAGCTACAAAAATAAATATGTTAAAATGACCTCACTTCAACGGAACTTTAAATCCTCATCCAAGATCACCAAGAACTAACTCTAACATTAAGCACAACTGAATATGCAGTGTATGTTTATGCACTCTTTCTTTCCTGTACATGCGAGGACTGTTAACATAAGCAAAGAATGAGATGTGATTTAAAAAAATTTGGGTGAGACCAAAATGGAGAGGATGAAGGAACTTTAAGAGGGAACATTACAATGTAAATGCAAAATTTCAAATAATCTCCAGTGGTAATCACATAGATTTGATATGTAGAATGACACAACAGTACGAAAAGTCTAGTTGCAACTATAAGCCCTAGAATATATCAATAAAAAAGTTTGGGGGGCTGGGGGAGCTATATGAAAGTGAAGAACAATAAAGTAGATAAGAATCAACAAAGAGCCATAAATCAAGAAGTCTTGTAACCATACAATCAAGCTAACGCCACAAAAAGCTTCTCTAGCCATCATATTTTCTGAAAATAGCAAAATGTTTGAAAAATTCATGCAAGCATCATGCCATTTGTTCATTGCCGCTGAGAAAATTTCAAATTGAAGATCATCTAAGATGCAAGAATCCAAAGAAATTGGATGGAAGAGATAGAAAGTGAAGTTTGAGTTGTAGAAATGAAAGAAAGATATAGGAAAGACAAAGAAAAGTCTTGAGCTATAGAACTGAAGAAAAGGAGATGAAGAGGAGAGATTTGCATTTTTTTGATAAGGTTTGAATTCAAAACATTTATGATTTGGTAAAAACAAATGAGAAGAGGGCATTAAAGGCTAATGAGATTTTGTAAAGCATGAATTGACATCATAACAATTAACCATACAAATTTGAAAAAATAAACAAAACAAACAAAGGATACCCACCTTTAATACAAACAAGACACAATAAGCTGAAACATCACATGGCTTACTGTTTATAGCACAGATTGGTTCAGCTTACTGTTCCTAAAGCAAATTAGCCGCCGTGAAATTTAAGATATATATTGATATTGATGATTCTTGTACCTTAGATTGCCTTTGTAGTAATAAAAAAGAACAGTCCGTAATATAACTTGTATCATTTGTATTCCAATTCATTGCAACCTAATCAAAATAACTTCAAGAAAAATTATTTGTCCACTTCAATCTCTAAAAGAAATATATACAAAATTAATCATAAAATAAATAAGCATGTCAAACATGAATTTTACCAAGAAGCGTCTGCTATATTTAATGTTCAACTCCAGGCTTGAATTTTTCTATGCATACATATCTTCTCAGAGTCTCCTTGTTACCAAAAATCATTGCAGGAACATTTCCCATTAACAAAGTGATGAAAGCGATTAGCATCTCTAACAATAATCTCCCTCTTAACTATCTTTGATATGTATTTAGTAACAGTGTGACAATCAGCACAAACACGAAGGTTCTTTGTAATTCTAAGCAAGCTTCCGTATGGTGTGTTTAAAAGACCAAAAGCTATAGCCAATCTCTCACTATGTCCCCATAGCAACTTCACTTTCATTGGCTCATCCACATCGCGAAGAACACAACTTGTATCAGGCACATAACCATGAGCTTCAACCTCAACTCTCAAATTTTCTAATAACTCATAAATATCTGCCCATTTAGGATGTGAATCATCACCAGCAAAAAATGTGCATACCTGGTTTTCCACTTCAATCAAACTATAAGCAGGTGTTTTCTTCAAGCCCCTTGTCCTCATGAGGCTTCTTACATAATTTACAGATTCCCATCTTCTTGATTGGGCATATATATTTGATAACTTCACATAAATTCCACATTTCAAGTAGTCTGAAGATAGCAATCTGTCTGCTATTTCTATGCCCATATCAATGTTCTTGTGGGTTTGGCAACCACTAAGCAGAGCTTCAAGCACATCAGTGCTGGGTTCAAAAGGCATTTGTTTCACCAATGCCTCAGCTTCCTCCAGATGGCCAGCTCGACTAAGAAGATCCACAAGACAAGCATAGTGTTTTTCAGTAGGCTTAATGTTATGATCCCTTTCCATGCTATGAAATAAAGTCTTACCTTCTTCGATAAGTCCTGCGTGGCTACAAGCAGCTAGGAGAGAAACAAATGTAGCATGATTTGGCTTAAGGCCTTCCTTTATCATTCTATCATAGACACCAATAGCACGGAGTCCATGACCATGCATGCCATAACCCATGATCATAGAGTTACAAAATATTACATCTTTTAAATGGAATCCATGATTGAATAGTATCTCAGCTGAGATAAGTTTACCACATTTGACATACATATCAATCAAGGCTGACATATTAACCACATCAAATGCATAACCATGTCGGATTAAATGACAGTGGATGCTCATACCCTTCTTGAGAGATCCCATGTGGGCACAGCAATGTACAAGACTAACAAGAGTGACAGAATTTGCTGACACATTCTCTTCTTGCATCTGAATGAAAAATTTCAGGGCATCCTCTGCATAGCCATTTTGTGATAAACCCACCAGCATAGCTGTCCAAGTAATCACATTCCTTTGTTTCATTCTTCCAAAAACAGTAGTTGCCTGCTTTGCAGCACCACATTTAGCATACATGTCAACAATTGCAGAGGACAAAATTAGATTTGATTCAAATCCTTTTCTTATGACACAAGCATGGAGGATCTTTCCGCTCTCCAAGTTACATGTGTGGGAACAACCCTGAATAAGGCTCACCAAGGTTCCTGAATCAAATGAGGCACCACTAAGAACCATTCCATGAAAGAGCAAAAATGATTCATGTATCATACCATTTTGAACATATCCTGAAATCATGGCATTCCAAGAAACCAAATTTCTATCAGACATGCTATTGAAAACCCGACAAGCACTTTCAATGTCTTCCACATTACAATACATATCTAGCAATGCTGTAAGCACCAAAACATCCTCGCCCATCCCTAATGCAAGGATGCAACTATGAACACATCTTCCAAGCTTAAGAAGTCCACTTTCCCTACATGCCTTGAGTATGGTTACCATAGTTACTGGGCTTGGACGGATTTTATCACCTATCATATAGAAAAACATTCTGATTGCTTCCTTAGAGAGGCATTGCTGTACATAACCTCCGATAATTGAATTCCAGCAAACAACATCTCTTTCAGGCATTTGATCAAACACTTTTCTTGCTTCGTCCAGATTGCCAGATTTTACCAAAAAATTAATCATCGAACTGCCAAAATAAGGGTCTAAATGAAACCCCCTCGAAACAGCTATCCTATATATTTTCATACCCATTTCATTATCTATTAAGCCAGTGCAGCCCTTAAGTGCAAAATTGCATGTATAACTATCAATATCTATATTACGAGCGTCCATCAATTTGAATAGCTGGAGAGCCTCATTGTATTGCTGGTTTTCTGTGTACCCAGCAATCATGGCATTACAAAGAATGGTTTTTGGATGAGAAACATGATCAAACACTTGACGGGCATTGTTGAGAAGGCCCAAATCAGAATAGGCCTCAACAAGTTTGGATACCACAAATTGATCAGCAGATGCCGAGCTTGTAATAATCTGTGCGTGGACGGACTTGACATGGACACGGCTTTTTGAGATTCTCTTTAAGAGCGAACAGAAATTGCAGACCACGGGAAGAGATTGATTGAATGGGGCATCTTTAACAGAAGCAAAGCTTGAAAATGCAGAGGCTTGAATGAGCCTGCAGGTGACTCTGATGTGCAAATAAGATAAAAACATGAACTAAAGGAGAATAAAGCAGGAATGATGTTAGGTAATTTTTCTTCTGAATCCATCAATCATTCTCATAGAGAGGAGGATCCCTTCAAAACTTGAAACAGGGTGGATGAAGAAAGTAAAACAATGATGTCGTTATCTTCTCCTTCGATTGAATTAGCCGCTTCCTTCACAGGGTCTAATCAGTCCGTTTCTCACCAGATCACCTCTTTCAACTATTCCACCATAGCATCAAAAACACAGCATATTGGAAAGGAGAAAGACTCAAGCCACGCACTGGAAGAACATCAAGCACCAAAAAAAAAAAATGATTATCAAGGAGAAATCAGATCCATGTGTCCGCAGGCCGTAATTTGGACCAACCCGCCGGTTATACTGATTTTTAACAGAGTGATATTTTTCCAACCTAGCCCGTCCCATCATTTTTTTAAAAAAAAATTTTGTGCCTTTTGTTTTCTTCTAATAAAATTTATTTTAATTCTTAAACAACTAAAATAAAATATGTATATAGAAATTATCATAAATAAAATATGAAATCCAAAGTTCCAAACATTACAAAATACTACTATAAGCATACATGATACATTATCCTAAATGATTAAACATACATCCCAAATTAAAACATAACAAATCTAAATTAATAATAATATAAATACAATGTTACAAATCACTATCAAGTACTCAACCATGAGCCACCATTTAATGTTAATATAGTTCGAAGAATAATATGAAGATGTGAAATTATTTAGTTAAGTTTCATAAGTAGAATAACCTTCTTTTTGCTGAACTAACTTTGTCACAAATAAAATTCATAATACAAAGTAAAAGATATATTACATTATGGTAATTTTAAATAATAAGGATGAAATAAAAGACCAAAGGAGTAAACATAATTATATTTAAGGAAGGGGGGAAAAAAAGGGGCCAGCCTGCCAACCCACCCGTTGCGGGTTTAGTCTTGACGGTTACAGACTCAAAAGATCCATTTCAAAACGAGTCTGATTTTTATCAACCCAACTCCTCACTTCTTGGCGGGTTGAGCTCGCATATTACCGGCTCTACATGTTTTTAAATATATGCGCAGAAAAACTCGAGCCTTAATTGGTTCAACTAAGGGGGAGGGGAGGAGAGGTTAATTAAAAGAAGGGAAAAGGAGAACAAGGAGGTTATGGGTTTTGTTTGGTTAGAGGAGAGGAGAAGGGAGGGGAGATTTCTTGTTTGATTCATAAGAGGAGGGGAGGAGAGGTAATTATAAATTGACAAACATGTCCTTATCTTTGTATTTAGGCTACTTTGTTCTTTATTACAATATTTATAACAAAATTATTATTTTTTAATTCATCAATTAAAAAAAGGGAAAATGACAAGAAAATGACTGTTGAATTCTGAAATGACAAAATGGGCATGTAAATTACTGAAATGACAAAATAGGCATGGGGTATCAATATGGAATTTGGATAATTCGCCAAAAAGACTGAAATGCCTCAATTTTTTCAGGAATCAGAGGGCGGGATATTGTGCAACGGAACTAGAGTTTGGTTGGCGGTTCTCCACTCGGCGAAACTGCATAGACCATAGGATTCTCCGAACTCTCACATTGCACTCAGCGAAACTGCATCACATTGCCATGGTTGAGGAACTGTGAACGAGGAATGTGAATAGCGTCCGGCTTCTTCGTCTTTTCCGTGGGTCGCAGTGAGAAGCAATAAACTAGTGAGAAGCTTCAATCTTCAGAAGGGAGAGGGGGTGGCTAGAGAGAGAGATTCCGAGGGAGAGCACCTGTAAGGTCGTCACCGGTTGAGGAAGAAGTCGATATTCGTTCCGACCACAGTAAGCCACCTAAATCTCTCCGTCTTGTGCTTATCTGATTGGAGTGTTTTGATTTGGGGAAAACGGTGAATGTTGGTTGTAAAGGGGGAAGCAATGGTAAAGGCTTAAAATGGAATGTAAAGGTAGATTAGATTAAAAGTCGGTGCTTCTGTGTGTGACGGAATTACAGAAGTTGCTTGCTTGCTCTGATTCATATAACTCAGTCCATGTTTGACGAGATATCTCTCTGATTGTTGTTGTCTGATTGTTGTGTTGCTGTAATGTTGGAAGGCATAATATACGTGTGTGTTTATGATTGCTACACTACTTTTTAGAAGCCCATAAATTGAGACCACTGTCGCACATGAGCCAGTGGATGCTTCCTGTTTCTGCCCCCTTGTTTGGTCTGTTCGTGTAATGGACATTGCACATTTTTAGCATTGTGTATGGGACTAAAATGAGTTCAACTATATCCCCATATTGGTTATGCAAATTTAACATTGTAAAATAAATTGAAAGGGGTGACTCTTCGTGGGTAGAACTCTGTTTTGAAGATATAGCTACCTAATGGGCATAACCTCAGTCATTTAGCGGTGCAATTTACCTGGGGATGAACATGCATATTCATTTCAGTATGTACCAAGTGAGAATAACCTTTGTGGCCTTCTTATGTATTGCTATTATTTACTTGGTTATCTGTGGCACTGTGTAGTAGTAATTTCCATAATATAAGTTACTTGAAGATGCAAATTTTGTAACATTTCATCGAGAAAGAATCACTTTTGATGCATATTCATTTATTTTTTAATCTGTTGGTCTGAGGATTGAAGAGGTAGAGATTAATCTGCTGGTTTGAGGATTGAAGAGGTAGAGGTCGCTGAAGTGCTGAGAAGCATCAATCGCATTGCTATCATGGAGGAGGTTGGCGAAGTAACTGTGACTGTGACAAACGGTAATATGCAGTTGTAATAGGAATTAAGTGGTTGAGTTATATAGGTTTGGTAAGATTAGATTGTTTTTAGTTTGTTGTTAAAGTGTATTATGTCGTTAGTCTCTATTTTCTGCTCTGTTCTGTGAAGTGAGAAAGAAGCAATAACATTCATTACGTGATCAGCAAATTTAGTTATCTAAGTAGTAAATAGTCGAGGTTCATTTTGTGGCTAAATAACAACACCTATAATGTGAATGACTACACTGGAAATGGTAATGACAACTTTTTTGAAATGTAAAGAAAGTTGAGCTGTTCAACTGACCAGATTTAGTTATTTATGCTTGTTGTAGAAGGAGGGCCAAGTGAAGAAGTGAAGAATGGCTACATGTTGTTTAGATGAGAATTTCTTAAGGGCAGGGAGAAGTTTAAGAATATGTCTGAACAAGTGAAAAAGGCATTAAAGGCATGGAAGCAGTTGACACCAGAGGAGCAGAAGAAATACAATGATAGGGTGAAGCAATCAAGAAAGAAAGGGATGAAGAAGAAGAGGAAGAAAAAAGTGGCTTTTAGCACTCGTTGCTTGGTTCGGCAATTTAAGTCATTAGTGGACTTCATAAAAGATGATGAAGATTTGAAAGTGAGGGTACAAAATTTAGGCTTTGGCCATTTACTTGACATTGGATGTGAGAGACTCCCTCGTGACCTCATAGTATGTGTTCTCCGAGCATATGATCCGCCTACCCATCAATTTCTAATAAGAGGGATAATAAAGGAAATAGAAGCAAATGATGTTGCAAACTTGTTGGGTGTACCCCACACAGGGGAGAAGGTAAAAATGGACGTATGTGATGATGATGAGACATACCAGAGGTTGAAGGAGGAATTTGGTAAAGTCCCTTATACGAAGATACTCAATGACATTAAATCTGGGCAGAAGAAAGATGAGTTTGAGTTCTTGTTTATGCTGTACACTTGGGAGTTTTTTAACTCCTACTTCACAAACAACTGTGAGTGACAAGCTAATAAGAGTCATGTGCTGTACCATGAAGGGATTTCACCAATTTGATTGGGCCACGTACATTGTGAAGCACTTGTGGAAAGAGATGGGAGATTATGTGAAAGTGTACACAAAAGCAAAGAAAGACGAAGATGAAGATGAAGGAAGCTGCAATGTGGGAGGATGCATCTACCTCCTGTTGGTATGTATTTCTGACTTATGCTTCTAAGTTATTGTTTTCTTTATTTGTGGAATTGGCAAGTTAATGATTTACTGTTGTAGTTATATTTTGCTGAGCACTTCCCACTATCCAAAACTGTTGAGAGAGGGTCCCTAAATGCCATTCAATTCTGGACTGATGAGAGGATAAGGAAGCTGGAAAAGAAGGAGAGGGAAAGCAAGAGGGGTTTACTGTATAAGGGCAAGGGAAGTATGGATAGAAGTGGGAAGGATGAAGGAAAACGCAGAAGTGTGGGTCATTTACAACTGGTATGTGCTTTCGTTACTAATTTTCATTCTCATTAGCAAATAATCTCATGAAAAAAGTGTTTACTCATTTTAAATTGTTTGCTGCAGGAGTTATAGAAGTTGCACGGACGATTGATGGCTCAGATCGAATTAAGCACTAAGAGGCTTATAAGTGCAATGGAAGATGAGCTAGATAAGGTGCAAATAAGGATAGAGGAAAATAATGTGACCACAGATGATAAGGACCCTATTGACGTCCCAGATGATGATAAGGGAGATGATGATGCATTTGGCGATGAGGACCCCCATGATTATGATGGACATGAGTCTGATCACGAAGGTGATGATAGAGATGAGTTCCACGGGGGAGATGATCAGGGAGACGATGATGCAACTGGCTCAGATAGGGGTGATGACATCGGTGTTGCAGCAGAAGGTGCAGACAAAGAAATTATGGAGTCTCCCCTGCCCTTTTCCCCCATGGACAAGGGATGTCAACTCCGGAGGTCGCAAAGGGAGATGAAATCCGCTATCAATTCTCCATGGATTTTGACAAAGCCAATTAAGAGGCGAAAGAGGCCCATGGATGACAAGGACTGGTTTTATGACATAGTTTCCCGTATGTGTTCAAGCAAGGAGGGTGACATGTATGTACATATCCACTATCCACGTAATCATATTCATTACAATTTTGTGCTAATTGACTACATGCATAATGATATTGACAACATATTTTTAGGCCTTTGGTGAAAATCTCTGATGAAGATATCACTCGGGATCAGCCAATGACACTTGGTGGAATTGAGAAAATAGGTAACCGGGTAAGTAGAATATTTGTGATGAGGTCATTTAATTGTTTAGTAGATGCTGTGTTTTGGGTTCATAAAAACAATCATCTCTTTGCGTACAGCTGATGTCAACTGTGTGCAAGACTCTAATGGCTGATATGGAGAAGGAAGGGCAGGTGAAGCGGCACATTTTTATGCTGATTTTATGGTAAGCTTGCTGAGATGTTAGTTTTTTGTCGATTGATGTTGATAAATGACTAAAATGTTCATGTTTTAGGCAATAATGGCAGCTAACCCAAAGCTGTGGGATGCTACAAAACGGAAGAAACAATTTTTACCTGAAAATGTAGGCTACAACATAGGAGAATGTGATTTGATCTTTGGACCCACACTTATTGGCGCTCACTAGTTTTGTGTTGTGCTTGAGCCTAGCACAATGAATTTCTATGTGCTGGACTCAATGAAGCCAAATTTAGAGGGTAAGAAGAAGAGCAAGAAGAAGGGTGTAATTATTGATGACATGACGACCGTGGTCACTGAATGTGTAAGGATAATGCAACTCATCTTCTATGATTGACATTTCATTTACCTTTTATTTACAATTGCGTAATGATATTGTGCAGAGGAATAGATTTTATGACATTATTGAGATAGTTAAGCCTAATGCCACTGGGAAGAAGAAAATGAGTGATATCATTTGGGCTCCTGTTCCGCAACAAAACAATTTGTGAGTGGTTTATGTTGTTGATATTATTACGTCTCAAAGTAGCCCAATGTGTTATTTTCATTCTTTTACTTCGTTGGGATGTTTTGATGTGCAGGCGAGACTGCGGCGTTCATGTATTAATATGGTTGAGTAAATGGAAGCCTAGTGAGATACTTCACTATACGGATGAACAAGTGGCTGAATTCCGACGAAACCTTATGTGGTGGCTAGTGAATCATGAGCTTAATTCAAGACGTGATGAAGCATTAAGCTTGCTTTCATCAACCCAAGCCACCACATTGACCAAAAGACGGCATCTGTGATAGGAGACATTATGTAGATTAGGCATATAGTACTTGTAAAAGGAGTGTTAGTTTGAAGTCTTAATATTTGACTTATGGTTGGAGGTACTAAGTGGCTGCCAGTTGTTGGCCTAATTGCAATCCTTTTTGGGATAATTTGAGTAAAAAAGTTATGGTATTTACAACATGCCATGTAACTTCCATGATGATAATCACAAGTTGATTATTTGTGCCCCAAATTACATCCACTTGGACCCAGGTTCACTACACAAGTAATAGGATTAACAACTTTCGGATTGAGAATTGCAACCTCTGTAATGATAGTTACCACATCGCTGTTGTCATTTGCATCTAAAGTCTTTCAAGCCCAAATCACGTTTTTTGAATCCATTTTCGCTACCCCAGTAATGATAATGACAATGTTCGTACTGATAATTGCAACCTGTGTAATGATAGTTACAATCTTCTTATTGCCTTTTTCAACTCTGCATGTTCATACCCAATTAACACTTTTTTAACGGAAATCCACTAGCCCGGTAATGATAATCACAACATTTGTAATGAACATTGCAACTTTTTTAATGATTGTTACCACCTCGCTATTGCTTTTTACAACTGCATTTTCATCCCCACATATAAATTGTCACAGAATTTCACAACTTGGGTAATGAAAATCACAACATTGTTAAGGAAAATTGCAACTATAGTAATGACATTTACCACTATGGTTTCCCCATTTGCATCCCCATGTTCAGGAAATTGTCCCATTTCTGGTTCCTTTAAGTCAAACCCACGCATCAAATTGTTCAGGAAATTTTACTACCCCCGTAATGATAATGACAACATTGAAAATGTTAATTGCAACTTCAGTAACAAAATTTACCAGTCTGCTTTTCCCATTTCTGGTTCCCTTAACTCAAATCCACGCATCAAATTGTTCAAGAAATTTTATTACCCCTGTAATGATAATGACAACATTGGAAATGTTAATTGCAACTTCAGTAATGAGATTTACCAGTCTGCTTTTCCTATTTCCGGTTCCCTGAACTCAAACCCACGCATCAAATTGTTCATGAAATTTTACTACCCCTGTAATGATAATGATAACATTGTAAATGTTAATTGCAACTTCAGTAACAAAATAGCATTTGTGTTGACAAAATAGCATAGAAGTACACCAGAAGAGCATCATAGGATGTCTACATTAACATTCAGACTTTACTACATGTGTAATGCAATTTAGTACTGAAGTGACAATATTTACCAAAAACCAGTAGGCCCATCACAGAAGCTACATAAATGATATCCAAATGACAAGTTAACATTAGGATTAACCCACCGCCTAATGTTTTCTTGTCATTCAGATTATAGAACATCTCCTACCCAGTTAATATCATTAACAAAAAAGATAGCCTACCTATCAACCCTTCTCCCAAAAAAATTAAAAAGGGTTCAAGAGTCATTCCATTCCTATAACAAAAAAATTACCCCTATTGGTATTGACATGAAACCTTAAGTTGGGCTTGGATTCTTGCATGTTCTTCTTGTGTGGCCAACTTGCTGGCATGCACTACAATGGTACACCTTCTTGTTTTGAAACAGTGACTCTTGCCTATTTATCCTAGGCCTTCCAGGTGGTCGACTAGTCAAAGGTGGTGCCAAAAACACTTGACTTGCTATATCTTGCAGCCGATAGTTATTAGGATTTGGCATGTCGATTGTCACCACTGGAGTCATCATCCTACCATAAATCTTTTGTTGGGACGTAATCTTGTAGCATTCTTGAACAAAATCATACACATTACAATTCAAGGCCTTGATAGCTACACATGCATGTGGGCATGGGATGCCTGACATTTACCAAGCTGCACAGCTACATTCACCTTTTTCAAGATCAACATTAATGGCTCCTTTTGCTGTATAGACACACACCCTACCCCTTCCGTAAGAAACACTTAACATCTGTGCAGATCTCACTACATTTTCCATCAATGTTACATTTGTATTTGGGCCTACACCATTCTTCCATTTGCTCATTGTCATGCTTGCTACATACATCTTCTTGGCTACTTTTTCACGATGCTCATGTATAAGTTGGGCAACATTATATCTTCTCTCCTTCAGCTTCCATGCATTGAATGACTCCGTAAGGTTTGTTGTTATGTTGTCCCATCGTTTAAAAGGGAACTTGCTTAAAGCCCACTTGTGAATATCACCATGATTGACAAGCCATTCAAATAATTGGGAATTGAAATGTCTCATGTTATCCATTGCTTGATCAAACTCTGTGTCAAGCCTTGCATATGTAATGGCATCTAGGAAATGTAGTCCATCCTCCCTTGTGTTGCCACTTGTCTTCCTTTTTCCTCTATTTAACTTGATCATTTGTGTACTGAATTCTCCTTAACATGTCTATAACAGTACGCATGTCGCTCACCTCCGAATATTGCTTGCACAGCACCTATAATTACATTGTGTCGGTCTGAAATGATTGTTAATTGCATTGACCCAACTATCTCCTTAATCATATGTAAGAACCATGTCCAATCCTCAAGCGTCTCTCCCTTCACAATCGCAATGGCAAAAGGTAATAATTCGTTGTCCGCATCATAAGCCGACGCTGAAAGTAGTGTCCCCTTATACGGTCCACTTAAATGACTTCCATCAATATACAGTACATGTCTAGCACCTGCAATAAAACCCTCTATACAACACCCATAGGCTATGAATACACGCTCAAATCTGTTGTTCCTTGCAGCCACCCATTTTGCCACTATTTTGTCATCGGTTTCCTTCAGCCGGTCACATATCCATGGAATAAGCATGTAAGTTTGATCAGGTCTGCCATGTATGTCCTCCAACGCTTTTTCCTTGGCCCTGTATGCTTGGTTGTATGTCAACTTCACACCATAATCTCTTTCCAATCTCTTTTTTATATCATTTGGACGCGTGTCTATATGATCCCTAACCTCTTCGATTATAATTGATGATGTCAAGCTAGCTGATCCACCATGTGTCACGTGAAGATTGTCTTGGGCATTATGAACATGCTCATTTTTGAATGTCGTTACATGTAAAAATGCTGGAGTACTCTTTCCAGCTGCTCTCGCACTGATCCTCCATGGACAACCTTCAACATTGCATTTGACATACATATGGGCATTAGAATTCTTCACATATTTATACTCAAATTTGTTTGCAATGCTGAATTTGTGTAGTTTCTTCTTGAGATCATTCGCATCTGGAAAATTCTGCCTCAATCCTAACAATACTGTCTTCCATTTCAGGGAATTCATTCCTGGCAAAGGAGTTGGTGCACTCTCTTCTGCATATGGCAGGCTAAGAACATTTTCAGCTGTTATGTAATTCACACATTCGACAGCATCCTCAATCATTGGCTTATCATTTTGCTGTGACAGTCCCGACAGTTTTGACATGCTGCATGTATAATTACAACATTTGTTATGATATTAACAACAACATTATCGCAAGTAACAACTTCCATAATCCGAAACTTGTGACTTACCTGTTTCGATCAGCCACTTCTTCCTCCATATTCTCATTACCTTTAGCTGCTACGTAAACATGTGCATTACTATCATTATACTCAAATAGGTTGTCAACTTCATCATCATCAATAAGATCTATTAATATCATATCATTCAAGCCTAATGTGTATTTAATGTCGCAACCATTACTATCCACACCAAACCATTCTCCTATCATAACCCTCAAATCTTCAAGCCTTATACCCTCCTTGATCACTCTTACCCTGACCGTTCCACCATAGTACTTAACTTCGCCATCACCATTTTCTGCAAACTTCCCACCCACATGAAAGTAACAAGCAAGACGCTTTGAAGATGTTGACCCAATGTTAGATGTCATCAAAGCTACCTAACTTGCACCAGAGAAGCATAAATCAATATTTTAGTTCCCCAATAATCAATTTCA